CCCTCCATTTCCCATTCACCCTCTTTTAAGTATTTAATATATTAATTAAACACATCCAAAACCCAACAGTACTTATGTGTAGTTCTCCATAAATTAAACTCAAAAAGTGCACATAATGTTGGATATCAAAAAGTGCACATAATGTTGGCTTATCCATTAGTTCTAAAATGATCACCACTTGTATAGTGATATTAATCTATACTATATTAAAAGCACGAATGCTCTTAGCGAAATGTCGATCAAAATTTTTAGGACTTCAAAATCGGCTAAAATTTAAATGATTAAAATATTTTCGTGGGAGAAATTCAAAAATAGCAAGATTTACAAGTGGTCATTCAAAAATAGCCACAGTTTCAAAAATATTCGAAAATTAGCCACTTTTCATATAAAGATAAATCTGAACGAAAATACTGTGCAAAATCCGGAAAAATACTCCAGTATAATATACTGGAGTTCTAGTATAATATACCGGTCCAGCATAATATACTGGAGATTGGAGCACCGGTGCTCCAATCTCCAGTATATTATATTGGAACTTTCCGCGTGTTGGAGTTCCTGCATAATATGCTGGAAGTTCATACACAGGTGCACCGATCTCCAGTATATTATGCTGGAACTTTTCGTGTTGCAGCAAAATAGTGGCTATTTTTCAATGACTTTGCAAACGCTGCTATTTTTGAATGACCAGTCCGAAAACTGGCTAGCCCGTGCTATTTTTACTATTTTCGCATGTGAATTATATGGAAAGTCCTAATATTTAGGACTTCAAATTAAATTAAACTTTTATCTATTATGAATCATTTCCTTATTCAAACCATGTAAAAACTACAAAATTAGTTTGTGAAATAAGGACCAATTTTATAAGTCAAATCAACAAACTCTCTTTGCCGATTCAAGACCTAATCCATGAAGAAATTTGAGCTCTAGTGTTAGCTTGGGCATTTTGCTACCATCCGGGTGATTGTAGGCAGTCAAGTGGCTAAAAGTTAGTCTCTTAGGTTATAAAAATTTGTAACCCGAAACAACTCGGTGTTTTAATGAAGTTTCGTTAAGAGAAATTCCAAAGTTGGGTCGTGATTTTTACTCCCTTAAGTAAGGAGGTTTTTCATGTAAAAAGTTCATGTGTTAATTAAATTCCGTATTTTATTATCTCACTTGTTTAACAAGGGAACATATGTAAGAACCATATTCTTATAAAGTGCCTAATTAGCAGTGCACTAAACTACACACACACATATATATATACCTTTTTTTATGCATTTATCGATTTGGTGAAAATAATAAATGTAGGTGGGTGACTAATGGTGCCTGAGAAGAAAGCCAACCAAGTGACCAACTGCTTGTAGTGGAAAAATTGGAAGTTGAACAAAAGAAAAAAGAAAAAGAAAAAGCCGGAAGTGGCAGCATTACTTCCCGCAATAACGGTAGGAGTAATGTATTTTTTTTAGCTGCTCTCACAAATGAAAGTCGGAAAAATTATATATTTGTTATATTGATGTGCAATATATGTATATAATATTTATACTTAAATTTTTTGCCAGCATATGCAGTTAATTCGATCCTCCGATAAATTTTATATTTTGTCCTAAAGGTAGCATACACTAGGCCCAATAACGGCCCAAGTAATGAATAAGTAGTTTTAGTTCTAGCAAATATATGTGGCAAGAGGAAATACATATTTTTCTCCAAGTGACTGTCTGCAACCAAAAGATTAGCACTCAAATTATAGTACTAGTAAAAACTAATTCAGGATGCGATTAAAAGGTTCTGCACTTCACCCCAAAACATAAAATAATTGGATATTTTAATATCATGTTGTAATATTTGGATATTTCAATGTCATGTTATCGCAGTAATTTATTGTTATTCATTAATATAAACGCTAGCTACAAAAGATAAAGGAGAAATATTAGTTAGTCAACAACAATTATACTGAGTAAATTAATCCTTAGTGTGTTAGTAGAAAGGTCTTGGTGTCCCAAAAGGTGTGACTAAGTTCAGTTAACCCCTTTTTGGATTCGATTATTTTAATATGTTAATGTCCTTAGGAAATAGGATAAAAACTGTACGTGACTTGCCCTTTTTCGGTTTTATTTATAATAATTAACTTTAGGGATGGTGACAGAATGAGAACTTTGAATTTGAATTGAATTTGGACCAAGAATATGATTTTCTTCTTTTTCTCCTTTTTGTTCTTTGAACTTTATAAATCACTGTGTATAATCACGTGATAAATCTAATAAAGTCTTTGATGATTCTATCAACTTGCAAATTGTAATTCCTACCCTACGTGGAGTGCTATTCTTCCAAGATTTTTCTAGAAGAAACTCCACATATCTATTTAACAAAAAAAAATTTCTTCCGTTTAAAAAGGTAGCCTGGTGCACAAAATATACCATATTTTATGCAAGGTCCGAAAAAGAACCGTACCCCTATGGGTGTGATGTAGATAGTCTACCCTAATGCAAGCATTAGTGTCTGCTTCCACAGCTCGAATCCGTGACATATAGTTCATATGGAGATAATTTTACCGTTACTCCAAAGTTCCCCTTCATTTAATGATGATATTCCGATAGCTTGCAAACACTTTAATCATTTCACTCTGCTACCATCCATCAGTATAAGTACCAAATAACTCGCTTCATCAAAACTTAAAACAAATAAAAAAAATCACTTGGCATTTTTTGTCTATCCTTTTTTTTTATTATCTTTCTTCTAGCTAATTAAGTCTTTTAGCAAAAACTATTACACAAATTAAATGATATATTTTTAAAAAAAATGTAATAATCATAGTCTATGATTGAATTCATGTTCAAATAATATTTATTACACAAAATAATTCATGTTTGATTATTCAAACTCGTGATATTAGCATTTGAATTTTTTTTTTTTTTTTTTGTGTGTGTGTGTGTGTATGGTAGGAATAAACTTCAGAGTCTTAGAATTTTCTCAAACAGACATGGATGACGAATTTCGTGCATTACTGAGACAAAGATATTTGATGTGGAATAAGGTCAAGAAGATGTCTTTTTTTTTTTTTAATCAATTGAGCAAACTTAAGGGGAGAGCATGAAAAAATTAAATGCATGATTGCGGGCCTTATTGCTGTAAATTATAAAATTAATGCACCAATTCTTTATTTAAAATAATACAAAGGATAAACAATACAATGATGATGTATGTGCTTAGATTGGATTATTCACCTTTCTACCTAAGTAGGGGTGGGCATCGGTCGGTTCGGTTCAGTTATGAATATTATCGGTTTAGCATGTCGGTTATCGGTTTACAAATTTGATAAACCGATAACCGAACCGATAAGATATCGGTTATCGGGTATCGGTTAATCGGTTATCGATCATTATCGGTTCGGTTATCGGTTTACCCGATAAGATAACTCGATTTAGAGTTAAGCAAAAAAGAGAAGACAATTCACTTGAGTTAAGCAAAAAAGAGAAGAATTCACATATAGTATACTAAAGACTTACGCTAGGAGTAACTAGTAAGGTCTATGAAGAATGAAGATGAAGCAACTGAAGAGTACGGTTGAGAAAGAGTAGGAGAAAATGAACTGAAGCCCTAGCAGTTGTACATACTTAAGGGTAATGTTGTAATTTTATTATTTCTTATTGGGTTATCGGTTAACCCATTAACAAAATTGGCAAACCGAGGCCCGAACCGATAACCCAATAGTAAAAAAATTCTAAACCGTTATCGAACCGTTAACCCAATAATCCGATACCGATAACCCAATAAACAATTAACGGTTCGGGTTATCGGTTTTACCCGATATATACCCAGCCCTATACCTAAGTGCGATTTTGACCTCTTAGATAACTTCAAGAATAAATTATCATAAAAGATCCCAAAAAAATTATGTACGATGCACTTGGATCACCTATACCTTTTACAAAAAACTAGGATATGATAGATCGTATTACATTTTGGTTATGTCGGAGCTAGAATTTAAAGTTTATGAATTCTGAACTTACTGGCGAAGCCACATTTTGATAAGAGTGGTCAACTGACCACCCTTCGTGAAAAAATTGCACTGTTTACATGGGTAAAATATTACGTTTTAGAAGTATATGACACATATTGAACACCCTTTATCGAAATTTTTTCCACTTCTTTTAAATTTGAACACCCTTGGAGAAATTTCTAGCTTCACCACTATCTGAACTTACCATAGAACTCATAGCTCGTTATAGTTATTAGGTTCACAATTAAATATTTACACGTATTTAATGCATTTTCAAATATAAATATAAGATCTAAGCAAAAGCTATTGAGTTCGTCCGAACTCATAACTTAATACTCTCCCCCTGCTACCTAACACCTAAGACCCACAGAATCTTCTTTGTTGTTTGTTGTTTTTTTCTTTTTTATTTATGTGGAGCAAAAGATACAGGGAGCTTCCAAGAAGGCTCTAAAACTCTAGCATATTGTATTTTATATATGTTAAAGTTATGCCCACTTGTTATTTGTCAACCTATACATATTGCACAATTCTTTATTTCTTCTTCTTCTAACTCAATGCAATTATGCAAATCAAAGGTCAAATTCTTTCTGTGAGAATAGTTCGAAAGTGTCTTATTCAATTTAGGTTTGCTCTTTGGAATTACATGTAGCAAAGGGATGTAGATGTTGAAAATGTTATACACAAGAAACTCAATTTATTTTCACTATCCAAAATTTGACACATTTTACATGAGTTTATTTTTGCATTGCCAATACATGTATTCTTTTACGTCGATCTACTTAATTAGGCGGTAACAAAAAACTTTATACACATGCACGTTAGATGACTCTTTTCAAAGTGCATAATAAAACTAGAAGTGTAATACCTATGAGATCAATTGATATTTTATAAAGTGCCCCAAATTCCTTTATTGTCTTTTATAATTTTTTACAATATTATTACCTTTCTTGTAAATACTTTGTAGTGAAGTTATTTTCTGACTCCAAGAAGAATAACATTATCCATTAAATAACCAGCCAAGTACCAATATCACATCAAAATCCTTAAATTAAATACCCCCATCACCAAAATTTATACAATAGAGACACTAGAAAGTGACCTCCAACTAAAGAACAAAGAGATGGAATTCCCCTATTTCCCTACCCCTAAAAGAAAATAAACAAAAATAATAAAAATAAATGTATAAATACAAACTAGGGTAAATCTTTGATTTACCATGGTAGAAAAGCTTCATTACAACTACTTTGATCACTTGAACTACTACTCAAAAGTTGTTCCAAATAATCAGCACCCAAATCTTCAAATACTACAACATTTACATTCTCCATTTTTACTTCCCTCACAACTTTACTATTACTATTACTGATTTTCTTGGAATTCAAGCTCCTCTTTCTCATTGAGTGGCGCTTTTTTAGCGCCACTACAGGAGAACAGTCCTTGTCTACGTGGCATTTCATGTCACGTAGCGACTCCTGGACAGTTTCCACAGGAAAATTCAAGATTGCTGATGTACCCCGCATTGAAAAAGCGGCTTGATCATAAGCTAAAGCAGCTGCCTCTGGACTATCAAATGTCCCTAACCATACCCTAACACCATTCCTAGTAGAATCCCTTATCTCCGCCGCGAATTTCCCCCACGGCCGCCTTCTAACGCCGCGAAACGACTTCTCCTTGGCGGGTTTTTCTTCAATTTCTTTTATAACCTTAGATCTTGAACTAACTTCCTCTTCCTTAACATGGTACGAGGTAACTGTTTCCGACGTTGTTTCTTGAGCTGTGTTAGTAAGAACACCAAAAAGAAGCATTTCTTCTGAATCGTTAAGGTTAAAAGGAAGAGAATTAGTTGAGTTTAAATTGGACCATTCCCAAGAAGAATCAGAAGAAAGATCAGAATTCATAGGGTAGAAAAAATGAGAAGAACAAGAAGAAGAATCCATTTTTCTTTTGTTTCTATAAAAGAAATGCTCTGTTTCCTAGGAGGGAAGTTTTTGTGGATGCTCTGCTTCTAGTAATTGTGTTCCAACCTACGACAAGAACTTTGGGCTGGCCTTGTTTATATACCCAAATTGATAGATGGGACCCACGAGGAAAATCTAGATGGCTATAAAATTTGTTAAAATATTTCATATTTTATCATAATAATACTCCACCCGTTCTAAATTATATGACACTCTTTCTTCCTTTTTGTTAGTTCCAAAAAAATGATAACTTTCTATATTCTGTACTCCCTCTTCTCAATTTACGTGGCGGTGTTTGACTCGACACAGAGTTTAAGAAAAAAAGGAAGACTTTTGAAACTTGTAGCTATAAACCATCGCATTGTTTAAAGTTGATATTCTTTTTATGACAGACTAAAAAGAAAAGTATAACACATAAATTGAGAGAGAGGGAGTAATAATTTAACTTTAAAATATCCTTTTTACCCTTAATGAGACGATTTGGAACCATCCAAATAGTTACGACTAATTTTAGACCACAAGTTATAAAAGAATTTATTCCTTTTTTAAACCTCATGTCCAGTATATTTCATATAAATTGGTACGGAGGGAGTAATAGTAAATAATGTAATTTGTAGGTGGATCCAAAAAGAAAAAGAAAAAAGGAATAAGGGGGAAAAGAGGACAAAAGGGGGAAAATGAAAGAAGAGTGACCAAGGAGGATGTTTTAGGCTTATTTTATGTTTTAATGTTGATTATTTTAGTGGCAAATTGTGTCAATGGGCCATTAGCGCACGTGGGTCAAATTAATCAAGGCGGCCAAGTCAGACAAGTACTGAATGACGTCAGCGACCTAGACGTTCTTTTGACCTCACTTATTTTCGTTAAATTTTATGGGTGAGGAAAATAGGAGCAACATAAAAAAAAATAAAAAAAAAAGAAACAGGGGAACAGTTTAAAGTATATGCTATCCACCAGAAGAAGAAAAAAAAAAGGAGAAGAAAATTAACCAAATTGATATACCAAATTTAGTTAATAAAATTTTTTATGATACATGTCAAATAAATTAATGTATGATATATGTTCTAAAATCTACTATACGCAGCAAACGAAACAAAATCTAGTTTTAACAATCAGAGGCGAAGCTAGAGTGTTAGGAGCAGGTTCGACCGAAATCAATAACTTTGATTCGAACTTGGGTTTTGTCTTGCAAATTCATTAAATATGTATAAATTTTTAATTTAGAACCTAGTAACTTAAAACAAAGAAAAAATGACATTGTATAGCTGCTCTCAAAATAATATATATATATATATATATATATATATATATATATATATTTTTTTTTTTTTTTTTTA